TTAGAAATCAATACAGTAACAACATTCGATAATGTTACAAAGGTGTACTTTTTTTAACATAGAAAGCAAGAAATAGTTTAAGAGCAGAAAAATGAACACTATCCTTTTTTTTTTTGTGCTCAATTTTATGTAAAAGTATTCTCATTTATAATATTCGACAATTATGTTGTAATAACATTAAACACATATTTCCAAATAATCCTATTTTAACTTCTTGATATAATTTAAATTATAATGATAAACAAAAAAAATTTTTTTTTTATGTATTTTCTCATACTCATTCAATACAGATGAAGAATTACAGATTTAAATAATAAAATACAACTATGTAGAACAAGAAACAAAATGAAAGAATTGAAATTACTTGTTAATATATAGGCATGAGATTACGAAAAAATATCAATATGACTAAAACAATAACAAAAACATTCGAAATTTATAGACAATGCGAACGAATAAATTTTAAATTTTATTTTGATAAAAGTTCTTTTTCTCAAAGTTGAACGATTTAATAATATGTGTATAATTTATAAATGAATGAATCTGATTCTATACAACACCTAATAATATCGTCTTCGTTATGATTTTCATTCTTAACTAAAATAATTTGTTGCAATGTATCGAATGAACTAATTGAAAAATTTTTTATTTTACATTTTAATATTGTTGATCATAAGAATAATTATAATGTTTTGAGAATCTCGTTCAATGAATTCTGTTTGTATATATTTGATGTAGAAAAATAAATAAAATTGACTAAGATGATCATAGATTAATTTTGTTTATTTTTAGTAATTCAAAAACAATGAAGAATAGAGCGTAGAATTTTAAGAGAGATATATGTCTATGAATTTATTAGATAATATAATTTCAGTTTTTAATATGTGTCAAATTGAATAATAATTGATATTTTATCAATAATCAAAGAAAAAGAAATAAATAGCTGAAATATTTTTAAAATGGATATTCATCTATTTCTATTTGTCGATATTGTAATAAATCATCATATTGATGAAATAATACAACCATAATCCAAATCTAATGATATTAGTATTCGATTTGACTCATAAATAAAAAGATGGAGAAGATCGTATTGATTGAGTAAAGTATATTAATTTGTAGAAAATTTCAAGAGCAATCTTTTCATTAAAAAATAAGCTACTTACCAAATAGAATTGAAATTCATGATTACAATTAAGTTTAAATAAATTATTAAGAAAATTTTTTTATCTCTCTCTATTATAACTATGTTCTATTGAATATCAAATTATAGTTATATTGTTTAGGTATTATAAGAAGATGAAATAATCCAAGAGAGGAAATTCTTCAAATGATAATTGTAAATTATTTTCAATTAACTATAACTAATAATGTATTTAATTGATTATTAAAATAATATTCATAGTAAATATATAATTTTAATTTCTTTTAAATCATGATAAAATTGATGATTAATTCAAATAAATTAAATAAAGTTGTTTGTGTCCATTGATTAACTAAATATTGAATATAGTTTTCAGATTTGAATAAATTTCAAAAAAGAAAATTCCATAATCTATCTATGTTTTTATTTTCTATAATAGATATTAAATGTTTCTTTGTAATTCTTAATACTTTTATAATAACATTCCTTGATTAAAAAATTTCCAAGCTTTTTTTAATGTATCATTTGATGTCGAAGATGAACAAAAAACTAAACAAATCAAATCATATTGATGAATAATAAGATATTAACATTTTTGTATATTTCCTTTGTTTTAATTGAAATAATATATTAATTAAATTTGTATAATTTTTTATTATTCGTTGTCGTAAATCAATAAAACAATGGTGAATTATTCATATTTGATAATAATCTTAAAAATGGATATAGATGATGGATTTTTAAAATTTGTTTTGTTAAATCGATACTATTTTCCAATAAATCTATAAGCAACATATCCATACATGTAAGAAGTCATATGTATTTATCGAATAACTCTCTTCGATATGTAATAATAAACGGGACAACAAAATCAATTCTTTGTTGATATTAAATAAGAATGAACAATACATTCATAAATAATATCCATTAGAATTTTATCATTTGCAATAGATATAATTCACTTATGTTGCCAATATTATTCAAATAGTATCTTTGAGTCATTTCAATGTTTGTTTACATGATTCTAATTTGCAGTTGTTATTGACGAAATTTGATAATTTTGATCTAAATCATTTTATTCTTTTGCTTCCAAAAAAATAAAATAAACATTTAAATGTGGACAAAACTTTTTTGTATTTGTATGATAATTTCTTACTGAACAATATATGTTACTACTACTACTTACAAAAATTTGAGAATAAATTGAATAAATACGATCATCTAAATATTTATCATATAACATAATTTTTTGTTTTTTTGAAATTGGATGAATTCTATGATAAATCTTCGGTGAAGAATTCATTCTCAATGTTTTGAAAAATATCGATGATATAAATCACTGTGCTGATGAATGTAGTCTAAATAAAATATAGATTTATAATAGAATAATTACTTTTTTTCAATAATAATAAATATAATAAACTATTTGTGAAAAAACAAAAAGATGCAAATTTACTTTCTTATTGATATTCGATTTTTCAATCATATTTATTATTTATTAAATAATGTTTTTTCAAGTGTTTTTAATTGTATTATTGTTTTACGACCACATTCCATAAAATGACACTTAATTGCGATCTCAACAATTCTAATCTCTCATTCTCTCTTACGAAAAATAAAAAATGAGCGAAAAAGGAAATAAAACGACGACGGCCGAACGATTTACTTTTTCTCGTCCATAATTATTATGATCTAATTATTATTTGAACGAGAGAAAAAATGTATTGAAATGTATATAAAAATGAATGATTTTCAACTAAAAAATCATTCAATTATTTGAATCATATTCTAACCTTTTCTCTTTTATATTTTAGGTTACTTTCAAAGACTCAAAATTAATCAATTCGATATCAATACAATACAATCAAAACTAAAAATGTAGGTATTAGTTTTCAATTTTTCTTTTTTTTTTTTTCTTAAAGATCATTTCGAAGATAGTAAGACTTCGATTGTTCTTTTTATATTTTAGGTATTGGTCTCAACAACTCAAAATTAAATCAAGTCAATATGAAAACAATAAAATAAAATGTATGTATCCTTTTTTCACTATTTCTCTTTCTATAGGTATTAATTTTCTTTTTTTCGTTTCAGCCATCAACGTCGTCAAGAAAGGGTGAGTGATTATTTTTTTTTTCTCTTCTTATTGAGTTTGAGTTGAGGTCTCGTACTATATCAGGTCTTCCGGATAGACCCTAAACACCGGCTAGGAACTGTCTTGGTGTCTGTGGCAACACGGTCGGGCCCCAGGCTCACTGCCGCATGTCACCGGATGGGTGCATGTGGATGATGTGAATTTTCCCGCGCGTGTACGAGCGTCACGCTCGCCACAGCGCCACCAGGATGGTTCCTGGTCGCGCGCGCGTGAATAGTAATAAAAAAGTTTTTTTTCGACTCGAATGCATTTTATTGAATTGAAAAAAATTGAACACAATGATTAAGAACATCGACGACATAAAGATTGCCTTGTCGATCGAAAGACAAAGCAACGGGGAGATTGAACTGATTTGCTCCTGCTCCTTTACCATTTCCACCCATAATGACAGTACCCTGTTTTGCTCCTTTAGACCAACGCATGACTCGATGATTCCCCGAATCTGCCACATAGATGGCACCCAACATATCGACGAAGAGTCCGGCAGGATGCAACAATTGTGTCAGAGTCTTCCCTTCACCTTGACCTCCAGCGACGACAATGCCTTCTTTTGCACCTTTATTCCATTTCATTACACGATGATTGTCCTTGTCTGACACGTAGACAGTCTGTTGTTGGTCGACAAAGATGTAAGTCGGATAGTTGAGTTGACTGAGACCAGCACCTGTGCTATTTCCACCAGCCACGATAATTCCATTCTTGTCTCCTATTTGATATCGTCTTACTTCATCTTTTTCCGTGTCAGAGACGTAGAGATATCTCTGATCATCCATGGCCAACCCATAACACCTGATGTTGTCAATGAGGATTTCTCCTTGAGTTGTGCCACTACGACGAGACCATCGTACAACTCGTCTATTCCCGTAATCGCAAATAATGACACTATCAGTCTCTTTGTCGATTAGCACATCGGTTGGGCAATTCAATTGATCTAAGCGATTTCCTTGACCCTTGCCACCAGCTACAACTTGTCCATTCGTGTCACCCATCTTCCATTGGACGATACGATGATTGTAGCAGTCAGCAATAATCATCGTTTGATCATCATCAATGAAGAGACCACAAGGGTTCGCGAGTTGATTTGTGGCATTTCCATATCCATTACCTCCAGCAACAGTCTTTCCATTTTGTGACCATTGAGCATCAATTGGAATATTGGGAATAACTACAATGAACAAAGAAAATGAATCGTCATTATCGACGAGATTTTTGTCTCTGATGCACGAGAAAGTACTTTTCGTAACTTAGTCTATAAGAAAAGGACTTTGTAAGAATTCTGTTGTGTGGATAATTATTTCTAATATCTGAAATGTTAAGCTTTCAAAATTCTAAGAAGATTTCTATGTACGAGTTCATAAGTGTAAAGAAAACAAAATTTTGCATGCATGAAAATAAAGAAAAAAAGACAATAAATAGTCCTTTTTGTAGAGTTTGAAATGTTCTTTCAAATGATAACTCTTTCTTGTTTCTCTCGTTCTCTTATGCTCATCAATTTTTTGTGTTTCTTCAAAAATTCTGCAATCTTTTTCTTTCTATATCATTTCCAAGGGGCATTGAAAAAAACATTGTCTGAAATATCATGCTCAGTTTTTTTCTACATCTACTCCGGTATAGCTTGACAAAAAGTTTTATGGGGTTGAGGAATCGATTGGTACCATTGGTTTTTGAAAACTTTCCGACAGATGTTTTAGTAAAAAAAAAGGCTTGTTTTAGCTCAAAGAAAAACTGTGCTTCAAACTACGTAAAATAAAAATTAGGAGCTCTTTTTAGGAACTACCTCGGATGGCAGTAGCATCATCTGGGATGGTGCTAGCATCAATTGGTATGCTAGGAGCATCAACTGGGATGTTGATAGCATCTTAGGTGATGCTACTAGCATCCCAATGGAAGCCCTGAGATTCCAGGTTATATATCTAGTGAACATTAGTTATAATTCCCGAGTTAGTATCTCAGTGGAATGCGATCTTACTGCAATAAACCACAAAACATGAATTGGATTTTATTGGGAAAGGGTGGATGGGTAAGTGAGCTCCATGTTTGGAGTTTACATGTGAAGCTCACTTTTTTGAACCCATTTTCGAGGAAAACAACGATTTCTTGTCAACTTGGACTAAAGGTTTTCTACGTCGAGGAATTGATTGGCGGCATTGATTTTTGAAAATTTTCGAATGATTTTTTCACTGAAGAAATGATTCTTTAAGAAAATAATGATTTTTCATAAAGGTTGACTTAATATTGTTGACAGTGGAGAACTCAGGTCCATCAATGATTCATGAAGATCAGTGAATTCGAGGATCACACTGTGGAATATCAATTCAATCAATAGTCTACCAGTAAATGCACCAAATAATCCTTCTTACTTCAGAATAGAGCTGATCACGGTTCGGAGAATGGTTGCCTTATTTTCCGGCAAGCATTTTTCAACGTCATTCAAGTTCAAATCGTTGTTTTTTTTAGGGTGTTTGTTTGAGATTATCGAGGAGACCAACACGATGATCAGTTATATTAATTTAAGAGCTATGCTGTGTAAACGTATATTTTTTTTGTTCCCGCGATTGCAGGGAGGCTGATGTGAAAAGAAGTGAAAAGAGTTTGTCTGTCGGTCTGTTTGTGGCAGGATCAAGAAAAACATCAAAGGTGAATTTCTTTTCGTAACGGTCGACGAAAGTCGATTTCTCATAATTTTGAGTTGAATTTTTTGAGTTCAAGAAAGGGTTTTTTGAGAAATTAACGATATTTCCTTGACTTAAGGAAGGATCATATGAAATAAAATAAGTTTCTATGTGTCAGAGTCAAAAGAACGTCGGAGTCAAAGAAACATCGACCAAAAGATTTATGATCGATTTGAGAGGAAGAACTAATATGCTCGGACTACGTTGTAAGAGAATTAGTGCATGGGTTTAATTCAATCATGACAATGCATCCACTGCGAGATGTTTGATTAAGTAAAACTCTTTTACAAAAGAGTCGGCACTGAAAATACTATAGATAGATTTTCGTCTGTGCATGTATTGCACAATAATTGTTAAAGCAGAACAGAGAAACTGATAACAAGATTGAATTCTGTCGAAGGTTAAGTCATTCCTGCCGACGAGCGTTATTTGTCTCTTATCTTGATAAGAAACTAGATGAATTTTGAGAAATGAAGGAAGAAATCTTTTTTTCTCGGTATACCGTCTTGGTTTTCTCCTCAAACAATGGATATAAAAAACTGAAGTATTTATTCTGATTGAGTAGCTTTTATTCATGTAGTGATTATAATCTTTGCCTATTAATATATGACTGAATAGAGCAACAATTTTTTATTTTATTGATAAATAAGATGTTTAAAATTCCAGCAGCAAAATCTATGTTTCTCCCACTATTCGAAATAGTTTCATACTATATTTTATGTTAGATAGAGTAATCAATGCTCTATCAAATTATATAGAAATAAAAAATTCTTGAAGTGTTTGGCGGAAAACAAGTTGATAGAAGGAACTTCTTCTTTGAAACAAATATAAAGTAGGTTTATTACATTGAGTTTCAGTGAATCAGTGCTGATCTTTGTATTGGCAACAGTGTATTTCTGGTGAAGTATCTTATATCTCCACGAAAAAAAGAATAAAGTGTTGGAAAACTATTACCGTGTACTACAAAAGTTGCAATTCACTCGTATATATGTGCATCTACTTGTTTCTTTTCTGTTTAACAAATGAGAAAAGTATTATGAACTTCGTTCATTTCTTTGCCGATTTGCTTATCCTTATACAGGATGTTTCCAAAAGATCGCTCGAAAAAGAAACGTGACTCTTTCTTTAACTGTTCAAACGATTTACTTGAGGTTTTTCTAGTTTCATTTCAAAAACTTCCCATTTGCAACATATCTGTAAAAAACATTACGCAAATTTTTATTTTGAAATTTTTTTTTGACCTTATTATGGATTTTCATATCCAACTTAATGATATCTTTAACCGATGTCTTGCAAAAATGTTTCTAAGAAAAATCATCGAGTCACATCAGGTCAACTGACCTATTGCACTTGTTTGAAGAGATGTTCTTTAAAAATTACAGACTTCACGGCTAAAATGTGGAAGAGTTTCATCTTGGTAAAATACTATAGGGTTCATCTAGCATAATGTTCGTAATTCTAGAATACAAGAACGTCTAAACGTATAATACAATTTTTTTTTTGTTGAAAATGTTACCGCCAAAATAAAATTGTCTCAACAGTCGATTTCCTAACATTGCAACATAAATGTTGTTTTTCAAAGACTGCATAACAATATCAATAGTTCTATGTGAATTTTTTTCACTCCACTATCTCGCTATATTTTAACATGCTCTTGACAGTTGTTATAGAAATTTTAAAAATAAAAATTTATGTAATGTTCTTACAGGTATATTGCAAAAGGGAAGTTTGAGTATTGCATTTGTAAGTAATCATTTTGTATATTTGTTATAGACAAATTTATATGAAATAAAACGTTAATGAATATGAAATGAAACTATAAAAACATCAAGTAAATTGCTTGAACAGTTAAAAAGATAATCATGTTTCTCTTTTGAGTGGACTTTTGGAACACCCTGTATAAGTGGTTTGAATTTTTTAAATAAGAGGATTCTTAGAAAACAATTAGTGAACTTTTTCAATTATAGACTATGCTAAACACAACTTTTTATTGAGCAATCAAATAACGGCCAATAGAAATGACTGACTGCTTAGTAAGAAAGCTTTTCAAACATAGATTATTGATAGCTCAAGAAAAGCGCAGAGAGATATGTTTAGGAACATACGTCTCATCTCATTTTTACAGACTACATTTTAATGTCGTTCAGAAATGTGCTTTTCACTCAAAGGCAAGGTTTGATTAAAAGGAATTCGGAGTACACCATACAACAGCTCTTTCAATGTGGATTGTGACTAGGTATTCTTTATTATTGTAAAAACCATTTTACTAGACGAAAAATCGAGAGAGACTTGAAGGGTGTTACGAATATGATATGACTCATGCTATGACTAAATCTCAGTGAACATTTCTGAGTATTGATTCTTCTAGCAATGTCTTCTCATCAGCTGAACACCCCATAGAATAATCATAAATCTAGAATGGGGATGACCTATCGAGAGAGAACAATTTGAACCTGTTTTAAGTCTCAATTGGTACTACTGATCGGCAAAATATCACTTCGATAGACGAATGGATCAACTTTGTGAGAATACTCTATCGACATCGTGCTATACTTCTGATGTCAATACCCATGAGGCATCGATTGGAATATTGAAAATAACTACAATGAACAAAGTACTTTTCGTAACTTAGTCTTTAAGAAAACGACTGTGTAAGAATTCTTTTGTGTTGACAATTATTTCTAATGTCTGGAATGTTAAGCTTTCAAAGAGAAAACTGCTGAACATGAAATTCTAAGTAGATTTCCATGTTCTGCTGAAACTCATTGCCTCTCTCTCTCGGTTATGACATGTTTTTTAATGTTGTAAAACATATTTAAACGTCTTACTGTCATGCAAATTCACTTCGTGGGTGTGATTTCTTTCTGTAAATTACATTTTGAATTATTTAGAAGCAAACAGCTTATCTGTTTCTTCAGTGGAATCAAGGAAAACTTTAATCACTTTATCTCGTATTTATTCTTGAGAAAGTTAAAGTTTGTTTTTGTCTTTCGTTACTCATGAAACTTATCGAGTACGATTCAGGTGAGAATGAAAGATAAAAAAATCTCATTCAATGTTTTTGATTTGAGTTTTAGAATCAGAAGTACATGTTATTGTCATCTTTCTATTGTCAAGACAGTCTATTATCGTGGAAGTTATAGTACTACTACAAAACTATGGAACTCAAAAATATTGAACTGTTTGAATGGTATAGAATAGTAGAAAAAAAGAGGTTTTGTGATAGATCATGCAAAGTCAAAAAGATATTATCTATTTCAATCGATTTCTATTACTTCCTGTTTTCTGAATGAAGAAAAGATATTCAAAAGACTTTTTTTTACAGACTACAATTTTTAAATCTTTGAAAGATGTATTTGTTACTTAAAGAGAAAGCTTAATAGAAAAAAGAATTTGGATTACACCATTAAAGAAGTACTTTTGAACTGAGTGGATAAATCGAGAATGGAGATGATCTATCCAGATGAATCCTTTTTTAAAGTTTTTATTAGTCTCCAAATTCATCAACTTTGTGAGAATACTCTATCGAGATCGTGCCCTAGTTCTTATGTCAGTGCCCATAAAGCATTGATTGGAATATTGAGAATAACTACAATGAACAAAGTAAAAGAAAATGAATCGGCATTTTCGAAGAGATCTTCGTTTCTCATACAAATGATATTTCCATGTTCTACTGAAATTCATTGTCTCTCTCTCGATTATTGCATGTTTTTTAATGTATTATACATATTTGAACGTCATACTGTCATGCAAACTTTCAGCTCTCTCTAGTTCATACTGTAGCTGATTTATAAGAGTTACAATGTACAAAAATCGTGTTTTTTTTAGAAAGATGTAGGGACGGCGGAACGCTTTGAAATTGGATAAGACTCAATGGAAGTTTATTTGCATATCAGCATGAATTAATTTGACATTAGAACATTAAACCAAAAAAAACTGGTCGTTTTTCGTTTGACGATACAACAGGAGTAGTTTCTAGTTACAGAAGATGGTTTAGTTAAAGCAATTTATTCTATAGAAACAAATGTTGTTGCATGTTGTAATGTTTTAGTAAAATACTTCAAAAGTGATCTAGCACATCGTTTTCATCGTATCACTGTTTATCTGTTTAATATTCATATAAAGATGAAATCAAATTTTGTTTAGCAAGACTAATATAATAACTGTCTAGCTCACTAGTTAAATAGCATAATTCTACAACTGATCTAGTACACATATCACTTTATGTAAATGAGAAAAAAAAAGGTATTGCTGTAAATCATAAGAACACAGTTAATGAGTTTGAACATGCTTAAACTGACAAAACGTAATCCATCTGTAAAAACTGTGTGTACAGTAAAAATAAAAAGTTCAATGAAAGATATCTAGTTCAGTAGAAGTAAGAACAGTCTATTATTCTATGTAAAAATAAATATTTCAGTATCTTTGTAAGAAGGAGTCATCCAAAAAATTTACCTGAATGCAAAAATCGTTGATGACTGCTTGTCAAAATTTATCAGATTTTTGGATGAGATTCAAAGGAAACAGACTAAAAACTATCCAGTTCGATAGAGTAATCGATGTTCTATTCAACTATATTAAAGCTAGAAACTTTTTAGGTTTTATATAAGTGCAACAAATTAAGGAAAACTATCATAAATAACATAATTAATTGTTGTCATCTTTTCTTGATCTAAGTAGTATATTTGAACAGAGTTGTTCGATATTTTACAGTTACACAAGAAGACCATATTTGCTCATCTTTATATAAATAGTTGGTTTTAATGAGACATGTCATATATTGACATTTTAATTTGCTCCTAGGACTGATGTTCCAGCTAGAAGTTCGATCGAAACAGAACGTGAATAGATCTTTAATATTTAAGCGATTTAAGTTATGATTTCAAAGTTTCATCATGATATCAATTGAAGTTTTATTTAACATATATTTTATCTGTAATCATTGTAAAAAAGTATTATCTACACGCTTCTTACTTCTAGATAGAAGAAGGCTTAAAAATCAATACAGTATTTTTCTTCATCAATAATGGTACTGAGAAAAAAAATTGTTTGAACATTCAATTGTCTAACATTGTATAAGAAAAGTTGCTTTTTCAAAATAATATAACTTGATTTAACAACTCATAAGAAAGTCAAAAGGATTTCAAACAAACTTTGATGTGATGCTTTCATAGATATTTTCAAAAAATGATCTAGTATCGAGTCCTAGAAATCTGATGCAAATCGCTTGAATATTTATATATACAACAATTTGTTTCATCTCTATATAAAAGTCAAAACAAAATAGTGTAAACCTATGTCTAAATTAACATATTGCACATAAATAACATGTGGGGAAAATGAACAACTTTCGATAACCCTTTCATGTCTGACAAAACCAAATTTAAATAATTTACACAAGAAGTGTCAAAGGACTTCTCATATTGAGTTGATTAGATTTAATGTTTTATTTTCATTTGATAAAAAAGAAGACTTTCTCTGGAAGCTCAGTTTTTTTCCTATATGAATGAAAGAAAACAAATATTACTATGAAGAAAAATACATGTAAAGTTTTCCATAAATAATTATCACTTGCCATGGAAATGAAATACAGAGCAAGTTTTCAAACAAGCATATATTTTTCCTATTTGTTAATATAAAAATGTTGTCGTAAAAAAATTAGCCTATTTGATTTAGTCGACACAGAAATAGTTCATATTTTATCGTATTACTATTTTTATATGGACAGACATAGAAAATATACATTTGTAATATCTAAACTATCATCCAAGATCGACTATAATCTATTGACATCACTATTATGAATGCGAGTTATTAGTTCACATGTTAAAATAAAGAGTAATCCAATAGTATTGATACCTCTCTAAGTAAATGAATGATATTTATGGTATTATAAAGAAAGATATTTTGAGATGTATGAATGTCACAATAGTATTATCTTAATGAAATCGCAATGCGCTTGTTATGATGGCAATTTCTATCAATCATAAAAAACTGAATGTTGTATACCATCTATCTATGCAGAGGATAGAATGTATTGAGTTGTTGACGATGAGACATTAATTTAAAAAATCAATTCAAGTTTTCAACTTATTTTCACCTTGTTAATTATTCGTATTCCTTAACATATTTCCATTCTTATTCACACTTCACACACCCGTAATACAACAAGTATTATCATTCAAAAGTCATGAACATGATGAAATTGTTTTACATTGAGAAGTCACGCTTAACTAAACGATAAGTTTTTAAAATAATTTATCAAAAAGACGAAGACCTCGCATTCTAATTTTCAAACGAAATTTTCATATAAATGACGTGAACTATAAGAGTCGATATCAAGGGGGAAACGGCGGATTCCCGGGATTCCGAATCCCAAGGGAATCCCATGGGAATCCTGGGAATCTTGGGAATCCTGGGAATCCAATGGGAATCCAGGGAATCCAGGGAATCCCACGGGAATCCTGGGAATCCCGGGAATCCCATGGGAATCCTGGGAATCCCATGGGAATCCTAGGAATCCAGGGAATCCTGTGCCTAAGAGTCATCAATAGAT